GGACCATCTCATCAGCTGTGGGTTTCCTCACAGTAGGACCATGTCATCAGCTGTGGGTTTTCTCACAGTAGGACCATCTCATCAGCTGTGGGTTTTCTCACAGTAGGACCATGTCATCAGCTGTGGGTTTCCTCACAGTGGGGCCATCTCATCAGCTGTGGGTTTCCTCACAGTGGGGCCATCTCATCAGCTGTGGGTTTTCTCATTAGTGTTTGTTTTTTTTCCCCCTCACTTCTCTGTACTTGCTTTCTTTGACCCTTAAGACTTAAGTCTGCTCATTAAGGGATCCAATGTAGTCTTCCCATAGGTATCTACCACCTATAGGTATTTGTTTCAAAACTGACCAGGAAGAACCTAATGAAATTCCTTCTCCTGGTCACAGAAGTCATCAGCAATCACATTAGCTCTCTGCTCTGCCTGGAAATGTAATGGCCTGTTCTTCCTGTTCTGATGGCAGGTGAAGTTCTGGTCTCAACATATTTCTTTCATTCTGGTTGGAATAATCATTGTCACATCCATCAGAGGACTGCTGATCACTCTTACCAAGGTATGTCGCACTACAGTGTTTAAAAGGCCTTATTTAATTATGTGACTTCTGAATTAGATCCTACACAATAGTGTGAACAACTCAGAGGACATCCAGAAAAATGGAAAGACTGTTAAGCTTCTCTGTAAATTGTGGGTAAGACATCGTCTACCAGCCACAGATCATTCCAAAGGTAATAGAGACAAGGGATCCATTCTGTCCGTTGAGCTGTCATACTGTCTATAGCCAAACTTGGCACGTGGTATTCAGCAGCTACTTAGAAAAACCAAAACGACAGGCCGACGTTCAAGGCTGGAATGATTGTAAGTCACGTGTGAGGGAGATCAGAACACTCAGCAAGACCACGTGGTGGTGAGAAGTGGATCCTCTCTGGTAGAGGAGACAAACACTGAGAAGAGAAATTAGGAGGAAGGGACTCCCGACATCTAGCACAATCTGGGAAGAAAGAGTTCAGGAGCCCCTGACAGCTGCAGGTGTGGCCCAGAATTGCTGTTTAGTGTTGTGTGGTGATGTGGAATCATAGTTCTGGAGTTTAACAGCAGGGTTACTTTGTGTCACACGTAAAACCACCAACCATCTGGGGGCGGGGAGGCTGGTGGTTCTTATATTTTAAATCCCTCTCTGGGGATTTAAATGTCTGAACTTGCTACACTTTTTGTGCCATGAAAGAGATGCTATTAAGGGCTAATCATGTGGTGTGGTGTTCATGACAAGATCTGCCTGTACCCCTGAGTTCCTCTCCTCTCTCCACAGTTCTTCTATGCCATATCCAGCAGTAAGTCCTCCAATGTCATTGTCCTGCTCCTAGCACAGATAATGGTAAGTGTAACGATCTGCCGTTGTGTCTACAGCTGTAAAATGCCAAAAAACGGGGTTCTGTCGGGGAGGGGTTTCGTTGTTTGAGACAAGGTCTTGTAGTCCATGCTGGCCTCAAGTTTTCTATGTAGTGAAGGGTGGCCTTGAACTCCTGAGCTGTTTCTGCTTCCCAAGTGCTGGGATTTCAGGCATGCAGCCCCACACCTAGCTTGGAAATGTTTGCGGGGAGGGGGGCACATGTGTTTGTGTATACACACGAGTCTAGTTGCCCCTGGAGTTGAAGTCACAGGCAGTTGTAAGCCACCCAGTGTCTGCTGGGAACCAAACTTGGGTTATCTGCAAAGGCAGTGCGTGCACAGATAACCACTGAGCCATCCCTCCAGCTCAGAAATATTTGTTTCAGTTGGGCCAGTATGTATGGTGGTTGCTTCCAGGCCTGATGACCTAAGTTCAGTACCCAGACCCACCTGGTAGGAGAAGCAACTCCGGCAAGTTGTCCTCTGATTACATGCACACCCACACACCCATGTGCACAAATAATTTAGGAATTTTCATTCGTGTGTATGGGTGTTTTACCTACATGTGTGTGCCTGGTACCCACAGAGGCCAGAAGAGGATGTTCAGCAACCTGGAACTCGAGGTACAGATGGCTGTGAGCCACCATGGGGGTGCTAGGAATCAAGCCAGGGTCCTCTGAAAAGGCAGCCAGTCTTAACCACTGTACTCTCCAGCCCCAATAAATAATTTTAAAATAATATAACGTTTGCTCTGGCCTGCCCCTGGAAACACTCGGGGTAGCGTCTGGATGAACCGGCTCCCCTTTGCAGGGCATGTACTTCGTCTCTTCTGTGCTGCTGATCCGAATGAGCATGCCCCCCGAGTACCGGACCATCATCACGGAAGTCCTTGGGGAGCTTCAGTTCAACTTCTACCACCGCTGGTTTGACGTCATCTTCCTCGTCAGTGCCCTCTCCAGCATCCTCTTCCTCTACCTGGCTCACAAGCAGGCACCAGAGAAGCATATGGCACCCTGACTTAGACCTCTGCAGACTGAGGAAGGAGACACAGCGGGCCCACCTGGGCCTTCAATTCTGTGAGCAGAGGAGCTGCCGGGGCGGTTTATTCTGCACCCGGCACTGGCCTTCCTCCTCCTGCGGCAGTGCCGGAGTCAGAAGGCGCTCCCACGGAGGCACGGGAGGGAGAGAGCCCGCAGCCTTCTGCAGGGAGCATGCGTGGGCCTGAGGCCGTGCACGCGTGGAGGGTGAGGGTCGGGCATGAGGATACCCTGTGCTCCTCAGGTGGCTTCCCTCCAAAAATTGAGTAAAATCAGAGTTTGTGACACTGTGGCCTTGAGTTCACTTATCAAGCCTGGCGTGGCGTGCTAGGTTATTGTGGTCTAACATCAAATGCATCCCTCTTCACCCAACTTTACCCCATAAAAATAACCAAAAGGTCGTTTGTTCTTTTTGGGAAAGGGATGATAGACAACTGAAACAGATTTTACCAAAAGATTTTAGGTATGCCTTTTTTTAAATTTCCTTTTAAATTAGTGAAGAGTGGATGCCTTACACTAACCCAGTGGTGGAGTTTCAGGCTGTCTTTCCCTCTGCCTCCTCTCGCGTTGTGTGGGGAGACAGTGAGTAGCTGTTAGCTGCAACAGCCCTCTCCTGTCCTAGAATACACGCTCTCTGACCGTAAAAGGAAGGCGATGTTTTTTAATACTCAAATGCAATATAAGAAAATTCTGCAATGTATTGCCTGGAAGTCTCCTTTTCTTACTAAGGTCATAGTGTGTACTTTGTCATGTTGGGCTTCTAGAAATGAAATATGCAAATGAAAAGCATGAACTGTTCATACAGAACACTATTCAAATCCAGATCCCCTTAGCCAACTCCCAAAGCACTTGAATAATGCTCTTAGCTGCAGCATTACTACAGAAGCACACCTCCGACAGGATGTCTGCTTGAAACTTTTATTAGCCACACTCACACATACACAAATGAATCATCTCTGGTGCTCAAGATGCGTACAGAAGAGGTTTCATCAGCAAAAATGGAAAGTTGTACTTGGGCAGATATCACATAGAAAGAACCTGGCCACTCCCTCCAGCTAAATTGAGCAGCCCTTACAAAGGCAGACCGACCGACCGACACGTGGAATGAGTGATTCTAGAGGTCTAATGAGGCCAGCAGGGAGCGCCTTCCTTGGAAAGGCAGCTCCTGGACATGTAAGAGGAATTCAGTAGCCAAAACCAACGTTAGTTCTCATCACATCTCTGTGTCTTCAGAGTTGGAAGAAGAATGTGAGGCTGTGCTGTGAGTCTGTGGAAAAGAAAAATGGGCAGAGTGTGAGCAGCAGGAGAGCCTGGCCTGCGTCAGGGAGGAGAGCCGTGCACTCCTAGAAGACATGGTCTGACATCGCTGCTTGGCTTCCTACTTAACGCAAAATGAAGTTCTCGTCTATATATATATGACTGTATATGTGTATATATGTAATCCGTTTTCTATAAGACCACTAAGCACCATAATTGACATTACTAATCTATCAGTAGAATTAATACAGTGGAAAGGAAAAGTGTAGTGAGACTTTTCATCAGAAACCTGACTCCGGTAAATTTCCTTTTATGAACTTGGCCATCAATTCATTTTTGAATCTCAAGTTCATCTATGAAGAAAAAGTTGACTAGAAAAAATATTGTCCTAACTGTCTCTGTGTGTTTACTCACTGTGAGCCAGGCACTGTTCAAATACTTTTATTCTGAAAACGGTTGTACACATCATCCCTGTTTTATAGGTAGGCAAGCTAAAGCACAGAGCCAGGAAATCCGCTGATAGGCGGCAGAACCAAGCTGGTTCTTCTGATGGTCTCCATCATGATTCTGATAAAATCTTCATTTACTGATTGCCAGCCGCGTGCTAAGAAAATAACCTCATGAGCCACAATCCCAGCACTCAGGAGGCTGAGACAAGAGGGTGGCGAGTTCTAGATCAGCCTGGGCTCCACACTGAGGCCACATTTCTAAGAAGACAATAAATTTGTCCTCATCCTACCTCCTCTCCTCCCAAACCCTGACAGGTTGGTCGCCCTGTGTTCCGACTCCCGAGAAGCAGGTCACCACTTACTCGTTCTCTTGCCGTATGGGGGTCAAGCTCTGACTCTGCTGACATTCCTCCTCTGTCCTCAGAACAGGCGTCCAGGGGGTCAGCCATGGAGGAAAAGATGGGGATTTTCTTAGCTTGGAAGTAGTTGTAGGCCTTCTTTCCACAGACCAGGAGAGTGACGTGCTCCCCGCTGCTCTTGATCCTGTCCACCACTTTCTCGTAGGGTTCCTCCTGCACGCTCTCCCCGTTCACTTCAATGATGACGTCCTCGTCCTCCAGCCCAGCCTTGTCCGCAGGGCCACCCTCCTGTACCTGTGAGCACAAGTTCTGAGTGTCAGAGTTCCAAACATGGGTGAGAGTGTGCCCGGCAGCTTCCCTCCTGAAAACATAACCACACCTTTCTCCTTGAGGGGCCACACCCCCTCTACCCCACACACTGGCCAAGCACCATACTGAACATCTTTGGGCTGGAGGCATCTGGCCCCCATCTTGTGATCCCAACTTGAGAGCGGCAGAGGTCTCACTGGCTGTCCCTACAGGGTACAGGCACTGTGACATGCACAAAAGCGGACGGTAGCATTTCTGGAGGTGGGGCATGTGACTGACTAGTCCTCCAACTCCCGGCTGCTGGGAGCAGTTCCCATACAGACCTCTTTGACATAGGAGCCTGGCTGACCCCGAATGGCATTCAGGTGGAAACCATAGCTGTCGTCGACTTTAATCAGTCTACAGAGCTTGGGTTTATGGTCCCCCGCATCCTCCACAGTGTCTGGACTTGTGGCCTCCAGAGGAGCAGCCACAGGAGCTGCAGCTTCCCCGACAGAACCATTGGGCAGTTCTTGACTTTGGCAGTAGAGAAGTGGAGAAAAACGAGCCTGTTGAAAACAAAGGGGAAAAAATACATGTATGAGCAGTTACACTTCATTAAACATGATGACTTAATACACAGGGTGCCATACATGTCTGATTGTAGACTCTGAAGTTTCTCTGCCACAGCCAGAGAAGGCAGAAATATGTATCCACACACATACAAGTGCATAAGATAGAATAGCATAGAGTTCTGTACCAAACCCCAAAGCTAGCTAACGAAATACTAGCTTAGCTCCACAAAAGCAGGCAGATCACTGAACATGGCCTACACTCCTCCGTGGGGAACACTTCTAAGGGGCTAAGCCAAGTCCTGCTGTCCCCTGCCTTTCAGTACAATTGTCTTCAAGCACATTATATAAACTAAAAGACAGCTGGGCAGTGGTAGAGCACACCTTTAATCCCAGCACTCGGGAGGCAGAGGCAGGTGGATCTCTGTGAGTTCCAGGCCAGCCTGGTCTACAGTTCTAGTTCCAGGACAGCCAGGGCTACACAGAGAAACCCTGTCTTAAAAAACCAAGAGACAAACCATTTTTGTGACTAACAGAAGACTCAAAGACATCAGAAAAGACCGACTCCACACACTAAAAACGGGAGAGGTGACCACATGCAGCAGCAACGGTGAATTCCGTCCCTCAGCTGCTCGGCATCTCTAGGGCTGGCATCAGTAATGCCAACTTACTTGGCTGTTTACTGGAATTATCTTAGCTCTTCTCTCAAGCCACGCTTCCTCCCGTCTGTAAATACTCGGGTGCCTCTCACTTGCATGGCCACGAAGAAAGCAATAGCCATGGTCTCGAATAGAGAGAACAGGAAACGAACTGTTTTCTTTATTCTGATGCCTTTGTGTAGTTATCCTAGGAACACCTCTAACTCTGAGGCAGCCCCACTGGCCTGAAGCTCACCCAGGGGTTTAGCCTGGCCTGCCAAGCACGCCCCAGGGGACTGTCTTTGCCTCCCCAGCACTGACAGTTTTGTGTCACCAGGCTTGGCATTTGAGTACAGGTCCTGGGGGTCAAACTCAAGTCCTCACTCTTTCAAGGTAAGCACTTCATCAATTGAGCTAAATCCCCATCCCCGATTTTTTTAAAAATTTGTATTTTAATAGAGTTCACTTAGCTGGCTGAGGATTTTGCCCGAGCTGGGGGCTAGATTTGGGTGTGCTCTGGACCTGCTCAGCAGTTAAATTGAGGTCAGCAGGTGTCCAGACATTTGTTAGAAGGCGGAGGCCATCAAGCAATGAGGAACACTGTCCACCTCGTCACTGTGGATGCTCAGCAAGTGTGAAATGTGGGGTTCGTCTGCCTTCCTGCCTGCCTGGCAGCTCAGCCCCATGCAGCCCCAGAGATGTGTTTACAAATGCTCCACTGCAGAGGCTAGAAGATGTGGGAACTCACCGGTGACTCATCACTCACCCAAGTCCCCCTGAGCTCTCCCCTGAGCTCTCCCAGCACGCAGAGCAGCTCTGCCTGCCTGGGGACGAACCCCTGGCTTCAGAGTGCCCAGCATGGAAGAAGAAACAGGACGGCTTTTATCCCTCTCTGGAGCACTCGGGAATCTAGCCCCGTCAGGAATCGTTAAAGGTGTTTGACTTACTACTGTATCTCAGATCCGTCCCACCCCCATGCCAGCCCGTGAAGCCCACCTTGCAGAGTGGGCAGACTCCCCTCAAGTTAACCGAAACTGGGAAGATTTCGCTGACATCATTCTATCACAGATTTTGTTCCTCAGGAGTTACAACAAAACCCTCAGAGTGCAGCATCAATGTACAACATCAAACAGGCCTTGCGGAAGTCAAGTTGTCCCCATTTCTAACAGCTACAGAAATAGCTCCCTGGAGCTTCAGTATGGGAACAGCCTTTCAAATTATTTTCTTGAAAAAAGGTGAGCAAGCATGCACTCAGCTGGGCAGTAATGAGGATTCACTGCCTGCCAACCTTTTACATTCTCAAGGCTGCTCCTCTCCTCGGAAGCCTGTCCTGCTTCAGGGTGGCACCCAGTGTTGTCCCATCCCCTCCGTCACCACCTTTTTGGTTGCAGGACTTTGTCAGAATAGGTTCTCAGAACTGGACACAATATGAATTCAGTGGTCATACATGGGAGACATCCACATGTTCAATGGTCATACACGGGAGACATCCACATGTTCAATG